TTTTTAAATTTTATTTATTTATGTGGGGTGGGGCAGCTCAGCCCACCAGGGGGCGGGCCTGGCTGGCATGTGGTGCTGGGGGATTGAACCCTGGTCCCTGTGCTTTGCTAAGCTTGTTCTAAGTAGGTGCTTTAGACCACTGAGCCATCTCACCAGCCCCTGTGCAGGGTTTTGGTAGCATTGCTGTGTCCAGGTGGGAGGCTGTGCCTGTGTCTCCCTGACAATGAAAGCATGGAAGGGTTGGGCAGACACCCCCACCCCCACCACTGCTGGATCTCAAGAACCTGGCCTGAGCTTCTGAGCTCTTTGCCCATGTGATCCCCATCTGTCCACCCTGTTTCCCATTCCCAGCTATACCCCATTCAGTCTCAAGGGCAGAAGAGCTGGTTCCAGGCAGGGCTTCTCATTTATGTCTGAAGGGCCCATCATTGCTGTGGGTACTCGAGCCACGGAAATGCTAGCTGGGTTGGACATAAGAGTAAGGGGTAGAGGCATCCCCAGAGCCAGCAATGGGGAAAGGACTGGGACCAGTGACTTGAACTCCCTAGGGGCACAGTCCCAAGCTACCAGTTTCTTGAATACTGAGAACGAGCAGGCAAAGGGGCAGCAGCTTGACAAGTCTCCTTCCTGGGCCAGCCAAGGTTTCCCCTTCCCTCTCTTGCTGTACTGGCTGGTGCCCTCTGCCTGGTGCCCTCACATGGAGAGTCTGATTTTGGCCACAAGCAGCATGACCCCTTTCTGCCTCCTTACCCAGTTATTGGTTCCCTGCTCAACAGCACCTAGTAAAGCACCTAGCCATGTTGCCAGGCACACATAGAAAGGGTTACATCTGTGGTCATGATTATCCAAGTTTTTGTTGGGCATGTCCCAGGTGCCAGAAAATGCATCTTTCTGTTTGTTTTGTGGGGACAGGGTCTCAATGTGTAGTCCAGACTGGCCTTGAACTTGCAGTGACCACCCTTCATCTGCCTCCCAATGTGCTATTATTAAGAAAGTAGCATGTCCAAGTACAAAAAATAAAATTTGCTAATTAAAAGTCTTGAATCGTGTCACTAGATCCTTTCCCTGACACTGATTTTTAAGACCCAGAACGAGGGAAAACAAAAACAACAGGAAGTCTTCTGGAGTGACAGATATGACTTGCTTTCCAGAAGCACACTAACTTCTCAGGTGACTTCATTCAGCGCTGTCATCCACAGCAAGACTATCTATAGACTAATATAGTGGTCAGCAGTAGAACCTGTAACTTGGTATTTTATTTTGTTTTTGAGATAGGATCTCACTGTGCAGTTGAGGCTGGCCTTGAGCTCACTTTGTAGCACAGGTTGGTGTCGAACTCTCAGTGATCCTCCTGCCTCAGCCTCCTGAATGCTGGGATTACAGGCATGAGCCACCATGCCCAGCTTGTGTTTTCTTTAGGTGTCAGAGATGGAACAAAACCTTTAGCCTGCTAGGGAAGTGCATGTCAGTCCTGTGAATTTCCTTATGACGCGCCTATAACAATAAAACTTGAAGTTATGAGTACTGGTGTTTTATGTATATACACATAAGTATACATGTGCTTACATATTTTTTTATGGTATTGGGACTGAATCCGCGCGAGGCAAGCCTATTACCGAGATACAGCCCTTTACACTTTATGGGGAGGGGGTGTTGGTTTTAATTTTGAGCCAGTCTTGCTAAATTGGGGAGGGTGCTTGGCATTTACCATCGTCCTGCCTTGGCCTCCTAAGTGGGGGAATTACAAGGCCACACAACCACGGCCAACACATACATATTCTAAAAAGGATAACATTATGTACTTTCTCCCTAATATACAATTAAGTTATGAAACACACTAACAGCGGGAAAACATCTCCGGCAACCAGCACTGCGCTGACCGCCGGGAGAGAAGTCGCGGCAGCTCTTCCGATTTTACCCTAACCTTTCCCGCCCACAGAGGCACCGCCCTGCAGCGCAGAGCTAGCTTCCGCCGCGCCACGCGGAAAGACGCCTCGAGTCGCGCTTCCTGGGGACCTGGCGTGGGTGCGAGTCGCTCGGCCGGGGAGTCCGCGGTCCTCTCCCCAAACTCAGCCCACTCAGCCAGCCCTCACTTCGGCACGCCCGCGTGGCCCCGCCCCCACCCCAGAAGTCATTGCGGCCCCGCCCAAACCTCGGAAGTCCCTGCGGCTCAGGCGCCAAACCCGGAAGTCCACGCGGCCGCCCCGCCCCCCCGCAGACCTAATCCCTCGGCGGTGTTGCAGGTGCGAACATCCGGGCGTCGACCGGCCCCGAGCTCGTACCCGCCCTCCCGTGCAGGTGGCGCTTCTCACAGGCGGTCGTCCCGCGTGCCGCAGAGGGCTGAGCAGACCCGGTCAGCGGGTGTGTGTATACACGCGTGCGTGTGTGTAGTGCTGTGTTGGGCCTGGGCGTTCGCGAAGCTGTCGTTCGTCAGCGGAGGGACACAGTGGTGGCTCTGGGATTCATTCCTGAGGTTTTGAATCGCCACTTAGTGTTGGGTGCCCTTGGAGCCATCGTGTGCGGTCTCTGGGAGTGAGCCTGCGGGCATGGCAGCTCCCCGCCCTCGTGGCCTTCCCGTGTGTTTTGGGCCTGGCTCGGGGTGGTCTACAGCGTCGGTGTCTGGGAGAGTGGAGAGTGAGCTGCTCTCTGCGGGCACAGCCATGGTGGCACTTTCAGTTCCCTTTTCTAACGGGAGGCCACCACAGGGAGAAAGGGTTTCCGGTGGGTCACCGCGCTGGGAGGTTGAGGGTTGCTGGGAACTGATGACTTCGACAAGGCTAAGTTTTCCAGGTAGGTCGGGCAGGCAGGGGAGGGATGAAGCCAATGCAGGCTGGGTAGGCAGTGTGACCCCCAAGGCAGCCCGCATAGCTGAGCAGGGGAAGCCTCTGCAGAAGGAAGTCAGATGCAGCGCCCCGTGGGCAGTAGCTCAAGGGCTCCAGCTGTGTGTCTGACCGTCTCACCTCTGTCCGCAGCCACTGCAGACACTTGCCAGGATGTACATGCAGGTGGAAACCCGCACCAGCTCCTGTCTCCATCTGAAGAGGGCTCCGGGCATCCGGTCGTGGTCCCTCCTGGTTGGTAAGACTTTCCAAATGTTCCCCCAAAGAAAAAAATCTTAAAAGGATGAAAACAAAATGAACTATTTCCTCTTCCATTCTACCCCAAAATAAACCTGTTGCTTTTTTATATTTATTAGATTTTCTCGTACTTACAAGGGCTTACAGATGCCTATTTAACAGTGTGCTCTGTTTTTCTTCCTTTTTCCACCCCAAAGTCACCACAGTGTGTAAAACTTGATACTGTGGTCCATGTGGTGGGTGAGGGTTGGCTCCCATCTTCCTCTTCCGTGTTAATCCCCTTTTTGAGCCTGTGTCACTTTCTGGCTTCCATCCCACATTGATGGTTGCTGGGAGGGCTTGTGCCTTGGGGACAGCTGCATGTGCACTGACTGCCCATGAGGTGAGGTGAGGTGCTAGCTCTGCCTGCAGCCGCCATGTTCCTGAGGCACTCCCTGTGGCCTCCTGCACACTGTGCTGTATGGTTCTCTGTGGATGGTCTTCATTCCTGTCTGTGCTGGGGTGGTGATAACTTTTCGGCTGCCTTGTGGGTTTCTGGGGAGCTCCTGTCATGTATACTGCAGTTTGTACAAATGCTGTTTTCCCTGTACTACATGGAAGGTCTCTGCCTGCTGTGCCCCAGACAGAGCACCGCTTTCCTACAGTGGGGAGCACCCAGTTGCCCCTGCCTCAGCGCTGGGAGAAGGTGGGACTCCTAGGGGCTTGGTGGCAAGGTGTTTCCTGTCTCCCTACAGGCATCCTGTCGACTGGGTTGGCTGCTGCCTACTACAGTGGAGGTAAAGGACACCCTCTCTCCAGTTTTCCCAGCCTGTCTGGAAGCACTCATTTGTGAGCAGTTGTGGCATGGCCTCTGGGGTGGCCAGTGCCCACTGTGTAGTGGTGTGCTGCCCACTGGCCTGCACTTACAGATCTCAGACAGTTTCCTGTGTCATAAATATTCTTTGAAAGAGGCTCTAGTGATTGCTTAAAATCCTGCTACAGGGAGGAGCCAGGCTCACAGCTTTCTGCCTCACCCCCTGTGCTCCAGCTGGACTCCTAGGGGCAGAGTCAGTTTGGCTCCTGGTGTCTGTGCCCAGCATCTGGAAAAGGCTGGGCTGGGCTTTGTGGCGTGTGGCTTTGCCTCGTCCCTTATGAGCTGGCTCCTGTGTCTCCTACAGATAGTCTGGGTTGGAAGCTCTTCTATGTCACAGGCTGCTTATTCGTGGCTGTCCAAAATCTGGAGGACTGGGAGGTAAGGCAGTACAGGCTGAGCCCTATTCTTTCCTGTCCCGGTGTTTGGTCTAGCATAGCGGTGTCTACATAGCTGAACTTGGCACCTAGACATTGCCTGTGCACATTCCTAGACCCAGTAATCTCCCAGAAATTCCTCATGACTCTTCTCACCAAAGTTCTCCATTCCAAGGGTTGCTGGGGCAAAGAGAGCAAGTGTGCACCTCCCTTTAGCCAGCACCTTCTCCCTGCCCTGCATTGAAGCTTCCTGGCCACTGTTCCTGACTTCTAACCTCTGCCTCATTGTGGCCTTGCTCTGGTGCCTGACAAAAGTCCTGGGGTCAGATGGCAGACACTGGGTTCTGGTGGGCAGTTCAGGGGGCTCTGAGGCTTGTGTTCTGACTGAGGGCCCCTGGGTGTCCACTCTGGTGTGGATGGAGAAAAGGGCCCTCCCTGGAGCTGTGTGTGGTCAGTGCATGTGTTTCTAGGAAGCCATCTTCAGCAAGAGCACTGGGAAGGTCGTTCTGAAAACATTCAGCCTCTACAGGAAGCTGCTGACCCTTCTTAGAGCAGGCCATGATGAAGGTGAGAGGTGGAAGTTGGGATACCTTACAGCTGGGGGAATGTGGACATGGCTTGAGTCCAAGGTTATGTGCTCAGTTGGGGGGGGGTTCCCCTCAGACTCGAGTTGGGGTGGTTTCTTCAGAGGCTCAGCCTATTGGGGAGGAGGGCCACCGTGTGGGTAGTTGGAGGCTGCAACTTCTGACCTGCATATCCCCACAGTGGTGGTCCTGCTTAATGACATCCGGGATGTGAATGTGGAGGAGGAGAAGGTCCGCTACTTTGGGAAGGGATATATGGTAGTGCTGCGGTTCTCGACAGGCTTCTCCCACCCCCTCACCCAGAGTGCAGTCATGGGGCACCGCAGGTAAGGGGCCCCCCTTGGGCAGTGCGGGACCTTGACACTACCCTTGTAATGGGACACTGGGGAGAAACAGGGACCTGTGGGAAGGATATGCATGCTAGAGGCAGCTCTGCCATGCTGCCCATAGGAGGAGTATCTGACAGTGGGAGTGGGGCTGGGGCCGGGGCCAGGGTCAGGGCCGGGGCTTGGGAAAGTGATGCCAGGACAAGAGATGCTAGACCTAGTTTGGAGGCTCTGAGGCCACAGTTGGGTGGTCAGAGACGAGAGAGGTGTAGGTCTTGCTGGCTGCTGTGGGGCCCTGCCCTGTACCAGATGACCTGCCCTTCCTCTTGGTCCCAGTGATGTGGAGGCTATCGCCAAGCTCATCACCAGCTTCCTGGAGCTGCACTACCTGGAGAGTCCCTCAGAACGGTCTCAGAGCAGCGACAGTGAGGCTGATGTTTCTGGCAGCCAGAGCTGACAGGCCTGGAGTGGTCATGGGTGAGCTCCATCCAATGTCCTCTTGGCCCAGGCTTCCCATAGCACCTTAGCTGAGCAGCCAGTTGCAAGGTTCCTGGCAGATCTTGGACGCTTGCCTGTGCCTCCAGGGCAGTGAGGACAGACTGCCTGCCTCTGCCTGTTCACACTCCTGGCTCCATTCTGCTCAGTGCCATGCTCATAACCCAGAGGGCTCAGAAGTCACCACCTCTCCCAGAACTGGACAGCAGCCCTGGCCTGGGCAGAGTGGAATGTGGGGGTGATGGACAGCATAGCCTGACTCACCACAGCCTCTGAAACAAAAGGACATGCAGTCGTTGACCAGCGTGGCTCAGGGCCTGCCCTGCCCACGGCCAGATGCATTGCCAGCCCTGTGCTTCTGGTATTGAGTTCCGTTCATAATACGATGCCTGTGTGCCTGTGGGGAGGGCCAGGCCCTTCCAGATACTGATGCCAAATATGCTTGGAAATCTTAGTGCATTCTACCCTTCCTGGTTGATGTCCTCAGTGGTCAGGGTGGACCTGACCCTGGACAGGATGCTTGGATACTATGGACTATGGGGGAAGCACTGAAGAAGCTGCCTCTCCCCGAGGACCCCTGTCCGTCACTGACCCCAGGGAAATGAACACTCCAGCCTCCTGCCCAGATGCTTGCCTTAGCCCACCAGACTGCAGCATGGTACTGGCCACCAAAGGACCACTGACTACCCTCCCCTCCCCTCAAGCCTGGGCAAAGAGAGATCACCTCTTCCAGCATCTTGTGGCTTGTGAAGACCAGAACTTCTGCAGAGACCCCTGCTCCAGCCCCGAGCCCTGCAATCTGTAGGCGTAGATCCCGCCCCTGGCTGTAGCCATCTGTCACAGAAGCTGGAAGCCAGCCTGGGCCCAGGCCTGAGAGCCATGGACTTCTCCCACTCAGCACCCATGATGTGCTTGTAGGCACAGCCAGGCAGAACTGGGAAGCCACAGCATCCCTTAGACACAGGTCTGAGGCTGCTTTGAGGCCACTGGCCCTGGGCTGGGCAGGATGATCAGGCTGGCACCTTGGCAAGAGCAGATCGCCTGCTTTGAAGTAGATGCTCCTCAGCCCTGAGTTGGGAAACATGGTACTTTAATGAATCTGGGATGTTTTTGTTTCCTAAAAAGAAGTGTGTGAAATACAGCAAGTGGTGTCTGGCTCATCAGCCTATGGGCTCATTTTCTTGATACTGGGGGCTAAACTAAGGGTCTTGTATGTACTAGGCAGACATATCCCCAGGACAAAACTGAAACCATGTTTTCAGTTTTGAGACAGTCTTGCTAAGCTGTGCAGCCTGGCCTTGAACTTGTGATCTTCCCGCCTCAGCCTCCTGGATAACTAGAATTACAGCTGTGTGCCACCACATCCAGTCTCTGTGCACTCTAAAAATGTTTCAGTTGAGGGAGGAGCAGCTGCTCTACAGCATTCTCTGGCTGCAGGGTGCTGTCCTGGCCCACCCTGCAGGGCTCCTGGGGCTGGGCTCAGGCCTGGGTGAGGGACAGGCCAACTGCAAACCAGTGAGCTGGGCAAAAAACCTGATTCAAGTTTTTGTTAGTGGAAAAAAAAAAAGTTTTTGTTAGTGGGATTTGGCAGCCTGTAGTATTTTTATTTCAGATGAATTAATAAAGTTCTATGTGCACATCATAAACAGGTCCCATGTGCCTTTTGCTTTGATGTTTCCCATGTTGCTCAGAAGTTGTGCCTGCATCATGTGGCCTGGGCCGCTGTCCAGGTGCAGTGGGAAGAATGCACTGGATGCCGCTGATGTAAAGCTCACCTCAGCCTGCGCCACTCAGGCCAACAGCACAGCCCCCAGCCCATGGCAGGACCCCCTTAGGGGTTCTGACCCGTGTCCCTGCCAGGGCTGGCAGGCAGAGGCGGGGGCAGGGCTGCCTCAGTGAGGTCCTGCAGCAGGCCCTGCAGCCGCTGCATGCTGGGATGCACGTTCTCCTCTAGCCATTCCTCCACAGCGTCGGGGTAGAAGATACACTGCAGCGCCATCTCCAGCTGCTGTACCACCGTGCCCCACCTGCCCAGGAGGCTGAGGGCAACAAGGCTGTGAATGGCTATGCTTGCTGAGGATACTCAGTGTCCTCAGCCTCACAGGTCAGCACTGTTCTGTGCCTCAGTCTTCCCAATGGGACAAGTAGATAAGTGAACTGGACAAACTTCAGAATCTGACCAAAATGCATTTGATACTTGGCTGACAGTTTTCTTGGGGCAGCATCTTGCTGTCGTGGGGGACACACGGTTAGGCTCAGCTCACAGCCTTGAACCAGGAGGCGGGGGTGAGGACAGCACAGGGTCCCAGCCACAGGGACACAAGAGCTCTTGGCAAGGATCCCTGGGGTACAGCAGGGCCTGGTGGGCCCCAAGTGGGCTGGTCTCCAAGGTGAGCCCCAGGCCTGCCTGAGCATGTGGGTGATGTTCTCCTGGGCTAAGAACCACAAAGCTTCTCAGTGATGTCAAGGGCAGTGTTAGGGAAAGCGTAGGATCCATCAGAAGCTGCACCTCACAAAGTGGGTCTTAGCTGAACCTCCAAGGATGCTTACCTGAGTGCCTCGGGCTGGATGTGCTGGAGCATGACTGGGTGGATGAGCTTCCGCCTGCGATGGTAGGGGCTGAACCAACCAGTTACATACCTGGGGCAAAGCAGACAGGTGAGCACGCTAGCCAACAGCAGTTAATGACATGGTGGGTGCTTCGCAGTAACACCCAGGGGAAAACTTAAGAATTTGGCTTTTTTTTTTTTTTTAAACAGGGTTTCACTGTAGTCTGGTTGTCGAACTCACTGTGTTCCCAGAATGGCTTCAAACTCATAATCCCCCTGCTTTAGCTTGGGAATCATCCACCATGCTTGGCTGAGTAGCAATCTTACTATTACTTTCTAATCTTTTATTCATATATTTATTTGGTACAGGGTCTCATTACGTAGCTCAAACTTGTAGTGATCCTGTCTCAGCCTCCCCAGAGCTGGGATTACTGGTGTGTGCTACAACTGGTTTCAGTGGCCAGCATGCAGTACTAGTGATCTGACCTGGATTCTTGCACTTGCCAGGCAGGTGCTTAGACTGCCAAACTATCTGCTCAGCCTTACTGTTTTATTATTATCTTTTTGAGACAGGGTCTCATGGTACAGTTCAGGCTGACCTTGAGCTTACTTTGTAGCCCAAGTTGGTCTTGAACTCACAATGATTCTCCTGTCTCAGCCTTCTGAGTGCTGGGATTATAGATGTGTGCCACCATGCCAGGCTGCAGCAATTTAAAAAAAAAGTTGTACTTAGGAAACTGAGGGAGAAGGATCGCCAGCCTGGGGTATGCAGCAAAACAATGTAACACAAGCAAAACCCAAAAGACAACCTGCTTCTCCCTAAAAGCCTTCGTGAAGGAGACCAGCAGGGGTGCGCACCTGTTCCTCTCCAGCAGCGAGTCCACAGAGCTGCCCAGATGGAGGCTGACTTGTGTGACAAGGGCATGAACGTCACTGCCAGGGAAGGAGCCAGCTTCTTCACTGCCAGAGAGTCAGGCTGAGATGGGTGGTCCCCAGGGAAGGGCAGAGACAGGACTGATTGGGCAAGGGGGGTTACCTCACAGCATCTGACACTTCTGGGCTTGAAGCCCTGAGGTAGTTCTCCACTCTCAACTTCACATCCTCAGCAAATCCTCCTGAAACCAACCATAGACAAGCTGTCGGAGGGAGGGGAGAGGAGTCCTTGTTCCTGGAGACCACAGTCTGGGCTTCCAGGCCCTCGGGCAGAGGGTCATGGGAGCCACAGCCCAGCCTACTCCTATACTCGGGATCCCAGGGAGACCTCAGGGTAAGCCCTGCCAGTTCTTTTACTGTAAAGATCAAAAACCAGAAATACCAATGGTGTTGCTGGATGAGCCCCTGTGCAGATGGCTAGGCTTATGTGGAGTCTGTACCTGCAGCTCCTTCAACAGCAGGATATTCTAGAGCTCCTGGAACAAGCCAGGGCTATAGGTGCTGGTGTGCACAGCTAAGTCAGCACTGAGCTGCAGCAGGATGGGAGGGTGGAAGGCTCCCTGGTCCCAAGGTGGGCAGAAGCAACCACTGGCTCCCTTGAAAACCGGCCATGCACAAGCCAATGCAGCCCCATCCGCAGCTCCCCACTCAGGGTTTGTGTGGGGTATGTGCTGTTGCCTCCTCGCCTTGCTGTATATTCTCCATAGTTGAGAGTGAACTGGGAAAAGCTAAGACCCATCCTCTTCACATCCTACCCTGGCTCCCTGCTGAACCTTGTTTTCAGGCACTGTGCCCTCACTCTGACTGAGTCCCATCTACTCACAAGGACTCAAACCTTCTTACATTCCTACAGGGGCATGGTTTGATCGTGTGTCGTGGACTTCACCAAGGCCCTGCTACCAGCCACTGCTCCAAGCGTCCTCTCTACTGTGCTGCACCTGGTCCAGTTGCTCCCTTGGGTGAAGGGGTCCCTAGTTCTGTACAAGCTTCCTGCTGGTGCTCAGGACATTTATACAGCAAAGGTAGACTCTTCTTCCATACCCCAAGAAGCATTCCTTCCATTGCAGGTTCAATGAACTGGACCTCTGATTGAGCGGGCTGCCCCAGGTGGGTGGCTGGGCCAGTTGGGCTATGCCAACATACTCCTCAGTGCAGCTGACCTCACTGTGATGAGGACTGAGGTCCAAACCCCAGGCAGGCCACGGTCAGGAGTATCTGTGCTCAGGTACAGCTGGCGGTGCTAGGCTGCGGGTAGACATACCATGGAGGAGCAACTGCAGACAGGCGGCCAGGGACGGGATTCCCACAGGGAGCAGCTCACAGAGTACAGAGAAGTGGTCGTACCTGCATCCAGAGAGGGGCACTCAGCTTTGCTGCCTTTGGCCCACCCAGCCCAGTGGAGACACTCTAATCTAGGGCATCCTTGCTCCTGTCCTGGGGCCCCAGTGGCAGACGAGTGAGTTCAACCTTGGGCCACAGGTTATACATGGAGTTCTAAAGAGGAAGTTTCGTTATTTATACATATTAACTATATTGTATGTTTTATATGGGGTCCACCACAGTTTTCCTCCTTCCATGTCCCTCCCCCAGCATCCTCCCTCTGCCTCCTGGTGGCTATGCCAATACCCACGCTTTTTCCCACGTCCCCATGAGGAAGATGCCCCAGGCCAGGCAGGACACCTCCACCTCCTCCAAGTTCAGTTTCCTCAGCTAGGAGTTGGCGGGAGGTGGATGTGGCCACAGGTGTGGAAGGTGGGGACAGGTGCAAGGGCAGGCACTGTGATGTTCAAGTCAAACTCTCTTGGGCTCCCTGTCCTATGCACAGAAGAGCACTGGTCATGGGGGGCAGTCCTGGTACCTTCCAGATCTAGGTCTGCAGGGTAGGTGCTCAGGGAATCATGGTGGCAGTGAGCCACCTGGAAACTTCTGCAGAGGCAGCTGCTGCTTCTGGACATGTCCTGGTGCTGGGAGCCAACCCCACACTGCAGCTGCATGCTGTGGCTACATCCTGGAGTACCTGATGGCTTCTGGGGATTCCCCCTCCCCCCATCCAGCCTCCACTTCATTACAAACCTGGCCTCTGCTCACCCTGCACACAGGCCAGGACTAAGATAGACTGAGTTGGAAACAGATTTTCCTACTTCCCAAGTGAGGGGGATTGTGGAAGGCCAGCATCCATCCCATGTCCTGCCATGCCCCACATGAAACACAGCTAGTCTGGTGTGGAGTGCAGGTGGTGCCCCTCAACAGAACTTGGGCCCTACTCAGGATACCCTGAAGCCCATCCTGGGCAGGCTGTGGCCAGGCTAGGGAACTGCCTCTCGGTCCCAGGACTGACTTCCCACAAACCCACCTCTGCCAACCAGTCAGGATGATGCCCTGCAGTGTGTCCGCTGGCCCATTGCCTGCCACCTGTAGCCATTGCGCATGGTTCCTGAGGTGGTGCTGAACTGGGGGCAGGGCCTGATTGGCCCCTGTGGCCCCCTTGAAGGCACTGGCTGCCCAAAGCTGCAGAAAGCCGCACTCCCGGTACTTTTCCATCAGGAGGACTGGGTGGAAAGCAGGTGGGTGAGTGGCTCTGTGGAGACAGCCTGCATGAGGGTCCAGGACATGAGTGACCATGTCACGCACTGTCCTGACCCGGTAGTGGGAATGGTCCTGGCCCTGGGCTGACGTCTATGGAGTACAGTTTAGCCTGTCACAAGAGGCCTCTAATATACTGGCTCATTAGTAAAATGTCCTAGAGAACTGGAAGAGTGCAAACTTCCTGCTGGGGTGTATCATCCCCATGCTGGGTGGAGTCTGCAGTGGAGCAGGACAAAGTAGGACAGCAGCTGTGCCCACCCTCATCACACACTGGTCAGCCGAGCAGTACCTGCGGGGCACCTGGGGGCAGCTCAGGTCACAGGGTCATGGGGACAGGGAACAGTCCATCTAGGCACATGGTTTGTGACTGGGGCATCCTGGTACTGACCCTTGGCGTGGACGTCTAGGTCAGCACTGTAGTCCCAGAGCACAGGCTCCACTAGCTGCGGCACCCCGGATGCTGAGGACAGGGCAAGAATGTGAATGAAGAGGACTCCCATCCCCATCCAGGCCATAACTCAAGCCTCTCTAACAAACTCTTTTGGCATGAAAATGGAATATAAACCATCTTGTCAGGCTTTGTGAGTTTCAGGAATAGGTCAGGTACTGTGCTACATGGCATGGCCCCACAGAAGGGACTGGGCTCCTGGAGCCAGTGCTGGTCACAAAGAACACAAGCAAAGCTGGGCGTGGTGGTTCAGGCCTGTCTCAGGAAACTGAGCAGGATTGCTGAGTTCGAGGCCAGCCTGGGCTACATTGTGTGTTGAAGGACAGCTTATATCTGTCTCAAGAAAATAGAAAAAAGACATGGACAAGGCTGGTGGAGTGCTGATGCTCCCATGGTGCCTTCCAGCACACTAGCCCACATTTTGCAAGACCCATGGCTGCTTAGGGAGTGATGCAGACCTGGCTTTCCCATGCATACATGAAGAGCAGGACTAGTGGGAAGCTCAGTTCCAGATCCCTGAGGGTAGGATCTCAGGCACATGGTAGAAGTCCCCAAACTGAGCCCCGTGTGGCCCACCTGAGAGCTGGTCCTGAGGAATGTCCCGCAGCATATCATCCCACACCAGGGGTTTTGTGCTGGGGTGTTGGCTCAGCACGTAGCTGGCTACCGCGCGGATGTGGGACAGACACAGCTTGGCCTGGTTGTTTTGCTCCTGCTGCAGCCACTGTTTAGAGGCCTCCCCTTCACCTAGGTAGTAGACCTGCAGGAAGAGGAAGATGGCTTGGGTGGCACAGTCCCCACACTGCGTCGGAAGTCTCAAGGTGGTTGAGACTGGAGAGAAGGCTAAGTGGGGACTCAGCTCTGAGGACTGAGCAGTCCTGTCCCCCCCCCCCAGGGGATATTTCTGAGTCATGCTTCAATGTGGATAGACCATGTCCTGCACACATTTGGTAAGCAAAGCTGTCAGAAACAGAAGGGCACATACTGTATGATTCCACTGAAGTGACATGTCCAGACCAAGCAGGGCTAGACACATGGACAGCAGGCTGGGGGCTGCAGCCTGGGAGGGGCTGGGAAAGGGTCTTCCTATGGTGAGGGAGGGCCCTGCAGGGTGGCAGTGATGACAGTCATATAGCTTTCCAAATGAGCAGAAAGCTGCTGAAAGTCTGTATCTTAAGTGCATTCATGCACAAACGAATTTCTTTTCCTAAAGGGAACTATGGATTAACTTGCAGGTGCAGGCCTAGCTCAGGCTCCAGTGGGCTATAGACCTGCAGAGGCCTGGCCCAGCATCTCTAGGTCCTGCCTGTGTACCTGGAGCCAAGCAGTGAGGCAGAAAGGTGGGAAGGCTGGGGACACTGCCTGGTCCCCTAGGAACAACCTCCCTAAGTGAGGGCTTTAGGGTCTAACAGTAGTGTACCCACCACCACCACCACCCAAAATGCACTTCTTTGATTGGAACAAAATCCTGGGGCCTGCTGTGCCCGTGACAGGCTGGCTCTGTGCCTGTGAAAGGCAGCACAGCTGTTTCTGGCTCTGTAAGCTCTTGCCCCATGCCAGGCCATCATCTTCCCAAGAGCTGGATGGGAGGGGGCCCATCTCCTTGGCAAGGCTCTTTACTCTACAGCACTTTGAGGGTTTTCCTAAAAGAAATTGTGGCATGGGAGAAGGTGATCCTGAAGCAGAGGGACTGCAGACTGTGATGAAGTCACCTACCTCATCACACCCGATGTGGAGCCAACGGGCGCCTTTGTGCAGCCCTAGGACCTGGTCAATCATGGTGCTCACCAGTGCCAGGGACTCTGCCTTGTGAGGGTTGAGGGTATTGGGGAAGACAGCCACTTCCCGGAGGCACGCGAATGCTGAGTGCTTCAGCACGAACTGCAGGGAGGCAGGAGGAGCTGATGAGATGCAGAGGGAGGCACCCGGTGCCTGAGCCCACCGCTCCCTGAGGCTCCTGCCACCTGCCATGACATTTTCTGTTTGGTATACCAGGCCCAGAGGCAGCCCGATTCCTGACTCCCAGAAGTCTGCAACGTGGTAGGCAGGAGGCTATCTGCCTAGCAGGCAGTGACTTCCAAACCTGCTTCCTGCTAGTTCCTCAAAGGTCTTCCCTCTCCTGGTATGACAAACTAGGACAGGAGGTTCTACTCACTTTTTTTTTTTTTTTTTGTATTTTAGGGAAGGGTCTCCAGGGTATTCAGGGTCTCACTACTAGATCGGACGTGTAGTGATCCCAACAGCTGGGACACAGGTGCGAGCAACCGCGCCCAGTCTCAATTGCCATCTCAGAGCGCCCCGGGGCGGGGCTGGCACCGCAGGCCTGGAGATGGAACCCCAGCCTGCTTGCAGGTGCTTTAATTGGCTGAGCTGTTTGGCCCGCCCTCTATTCACTCTGACTACATGAAGAAGATCACAAACCCTTCCCAAAACAAGTATAAAAAATGAGAACAGCCATTTCAGGGTTCTGAAAGTGGAAAGTGGACATCAAATTGAAAAATGGTTACATGTGAGTAGCCACAGAAACACTCTTGGTGAGGGCTGCTCCCTGCTCCCCTACCCAGAATGCCCCAGCTGTGAAAGCCAGCAACTTCACTGCCAGGCATTAGGTATTATGTACTACTGTACTGTGTATTGAGTAGTTTGGGGTCCTGGGCAATGAGAAAGTGAGTCATGACCTCCCTGACCTCCCTGTCTCAGCCTCCCTAGTCATGAAAATTTTTTTTTCTCATCTTTTTGAGACAGGGTCTTACTACGCAGTTTACGCTGGTCTTGAGCTCACTCTGTAGCCCAGGCTGGTCTCAAACTCCCATGATCCTCTTGCCTCTGCCTCCCAAGTGCTGGCATTATAGGCATATGTTGCCATGCCCAGCATGAAACATAGTCTTTTTTTTGGTGTGTGTGTACCAGGGATTGAACTCAGGACCTTGCACTTGCCAGGCAAGTGCTTGTGCCCCTGAGCTATATCCCTGGCATGAAAGAAAAAAATATATATACACACATATATATTTATATATAAAAATATATATACATATATATTTTATATATAATGTATTTGGTACAGGGTCTTACTATATAGCTTAGACTCATAGTGATCCCCCTGTTTTCAGCCTCCCAGGGATGGGATTACAGACATGTACCACCATGCCCAGACTCAGCTCAGCATGCCTCGGGGTGGGGCTAGCGTATCATGTGGTGCCAGGGATTGAACCCTATCTCTGCACTTGCCTAAAAAGGCACTTAATGAAAAATATTCTTGAATATTTTAAAAACAGAAAGTAGAAGGCTTCTCTCCCCTTCCCACAAGCTGCTGGTCCTGGAGTGTTTTCTTTGGCTGCTTGTAGTGAGTGGAAGCAGTGCTTCTGGGAGCAGTGGCCTCTTGGTGCAGTGCAAGCTCTATCCTTGGGAACAAGCCTGGCCTCTGGACCAACACTCACACCCCTCACCTCCATGTGTCCAAAGGTCTGCACCAAGGGGATGACCTCCAGCTCACTGCATCTGGCCAGACGCAGGATCTCTGTGATTTCCGAGGGGCTGGGGAGACAAAGACCTTGTGGAAGTGTGTGCTAGCCGATCCCTCAGTTTTGTCTTCCCGCTCTCCTTGGTCCTTGCTCAGCAAGCTCTGCACCTCCTGGACAAGGGAGAGTCTCTCATGCTGCAGAGCACTGCAGGCTCCAGCTGCAGGGAAAGCAGCTGGCTGGGACCTGAGGCAGTCTCCAGGTTGTCTGAATTTTACATAGACCTGGCCCACACAGGAGCGCCAGCTGCAGAGCAGAGGCTGTCAGCTGGCCCTGGGATTAAGTCACCTCTTGGCTGCTTTTACGCAGCCCTCAAACTCTGCACAGCCCCCGGGCCAGCAGTGCCTGCCACGCAGGGGTCAATCCTGGGGAGGCCCCAGCACATGCCATTTCCTGTGCTTCACAAGTGCCACTGCAATTGGCTGTTTAGGAACTTCATTAAAAACTGCTTCTAGGTTCTACCTGTGTGAGCCATCTTTTAGGCAGCTCTAGACATTCATTATTCATAGAAACTTGTTTTTACTCACTACCTTTTTCAAGCTTTAATGGAACTTTTTTCCCGTTGAAAGACAAAGTATATCTGCTGTTAGAAAAGAACACACAGAGTAGAGGTACCGCAGTAAGCACCCCACAGTTAAGCACCCACGGGCTGTCTGCTGCCTGGGCTGCTCATTCTGCGCACTGGTGATAGGCTGGATGGGCTGGAGAGCTCGGACACCACCAGGGCCAGGCTGTCCTATCACCAGCAGGGCAACCTTTCCTCAGGCTTACTGCCACAGAGCCACATAATTTAGGCAGAAGTTTCATCAATCAGTGACCCAAACAACTGCACAGTTGTTTAAGTGAAAGCAGCCCTCTCTTTTTCCTCTGGGCATTTGCATTAGCCTGTGGGAGCTGCACATGCCTTCCAGGCCTCCTGAGTCCCCCTCTCCCCTCAGCCTACGTGTCCAACTCCAGGTCCGGCTGTTACAGGAGCCCGGTGCAGGGCTGGGTGGGCTTCCTGAAGATGCCCATGAGCAAGGACTGAGAGGCTGAATTGCAAACTGCACCCTTCCTGCTGGGGTTGGCAGATGCGGCTTTTCTTTTTTAAATGTTTCCAAATTCTCTCCAGTGACTGTTTTTATAATGTGTTTTACTTTTACAATTCATTCAATTGGTTAATTAATTTTGTGTGGTACTGGCCTTTTGCACTGAACTACCTCCTGGCACTTAAATTTTTTGAGACAGGATCTCACTTAGTGGTGCATGCTGGGCTGGAACTTGTGATTCTCCTCAGTCTTCCAGATACTCAGATCACAAGTGTGTGCCACTGCGCCTGGCTCACAATCAATTTTATAATTGAAGACAAGGATTTCAGAAGGCAGTAAAGAGACACACCCATTCTTGTCAGACTGCTGACCTTCCCATCTACATCTCTAGATTGTACCTTCCCTCCCAGAGCGCTTGGCTCCCCTTGGATTGCCTTGCTGGCTGCCTGGTAATACCTGTACCTGTATGCGTGCTTGGCCCTCAGCAGCCTCAGGTGGCCCTCGTAGGGAAACATGTCTTCATACTCAATAAGGAGACCATTTGCACCCAGAGCTCGGAATAGAGGAAAGATCTGGGAGAGATGGGGAGGGTGTTAGAAAGATGTCACTGTTTGGACACAAAGCAGTGTGTGTGCAGCATGGACTGTTCCTCTTCAGCCTCTGGAGCTGGACAGCAGCTGCTATTCCTACTTCTGGAAACTCTAAACCTGGAATGTACTGTACACCCTGCTAGAACAGGAGCTGCAAGCTGGGGATGGGAGGGGAAGTACATGGCCCAAGAGAAGCAGTAGGCTGCCCCCTAACAGCAGGAGCTCCAGTAGCAGTGCACTCCTGACACGTAGGACCTGAGAACTGGGAGGAGGAGGAGGAGCAGGCGCCACCACTGGGCTTTGCAGGTGAGGACCAGCGCCAGGAAGGAGCTGTGGGAAGCAGGCTTAGCGTTAGTTCCCTCTGTTTTTCCTATCACTTTTCTCTCTTGATGTCAAGGGCTATAAAATTCCCATCTTCATAGATTTGGGGACCTGTCCAGAGTCTGACCCCAAGGCCAAGGACAGAAAACAGCACAAGGTTGGCACTACTCAAGAGGACCTTACGGGTACTTAAAACAGCCAGCAATCTCCAAATGAAGGTGTGGGTGCATTTGACCCAAGCCTCTGTGTGGGTGTTAATGTCAGTTTTCTTTTCCCAAATTACAAGAGGCTATGAAACATGCTGAACTGGAGGACATCACTATGGATCTAATAATTAGCTATAGATAATTCATAAAATGGATAATCAATAAGTGTGAATCAAAAATGAACCACCTTGCTGGGCAGGTGTGCTGGTGCACACCTTTTATCCCAGCACTTGGGAGACTGAGTCGTAAGGATCACTGAGTGCAGGGCCAACCTGGCTACATAGTGAATTTGAGGCCAGCCTGGGCTAATAGGGAGAGACTCTTTCTCAAAAATACAACACCAAACAAAGCTGATCATGGAAAAAAGTAATCCAACTCAATCATCCACAGGACAAATAAATGCCAAGATTTGTGGCATTTTCCACCTTTCTTGGAGCTTTAGCCTCTGGTTTCCTCTTTGGCTTCCAATGGCCCCGACCCTGAGGTCTGGGATCCCACTGGGCAGCTCTACACTGGGCAGCAGGTGCCTGAGACCCAGGAGGCTTTTCACAGATGCTTCCTGGCATCTACATGCTGGACTGGGGCACGGGTTTTCTTTAAAAAAAAAAACTGTACAAACATACACAAATGTAGAGAAATTACAAAATAAGCCTCAGATACCATCATTGCCAATATTATTTCAGCTAATTTCTTTTTTTTTTTTTTTTGGTGGGAGTAATTAAAACAAATCCCAGACATCTTTTTAACCTATAATTTATATCTCTACCTGGCAAAGACTTTTGAAAAATTGCAAACCATTATCCCAACAAAATTTTTTTTTTTTTTTTTTTTTTTTTTGAGGTATCTAAGACCTTAAACTGATTTATATCCTTAGCCCTTTTTGCTTTTTCTGAGACAGGATCTCACTAAGTTTCTCAGGCTGGTGTTGAACTTGTGACTCCCCCACCTCAGCCATGTAAGTCACTGGGGTTACAGGTGTGCACCACCACATATGGTATATGGCTTAATAATTACTTATTCATGGTAAAAATTTCCCTGTTTCAAAAGTCTTTTAACCTCTTTGGCTTGTCTGAATCAGATCCATGCATTTTTTGTATGTGTATATTTCAGATTGTTTTTAAAAAATAGTCCCAGGGCTGGCATTATGGCTTAGCCAACTAAGCGCTTGCTTAAGTAAGTGGAGGGGCCACAGGGCTCGATCCCTGGCACTGCAGGCCGTGTCAGGTGTGCTGAGCCAGCGGTGGAGTCCAGGTGTGGTGGTGTGCACCTGCAATCCCAGCACTAGGGAGGCAGAAATCAGGAGGATTACTAAGAGTCCAAGCTGCATAGTGAGACCCTGCACACACACAAAAAATAAGTAAATAAAAATAAAAACCAGTCCCTTCTGTTTTTTTTTTTTTAATTTGAAATTCATTTGTTGAAGAAAACCCCGTTATTTATTCTGAATGGTTTTCAAAATTATGAATCTGCCCTCAGCATTTCAATTTTCTGAATTCCCCACTGCTGGTATTTAGCTTCAAAAGTGTGATCAGAGGCAAAGCTCCATTCTTGGGGCAGGAATATATCCCAGCGGCCACGGAGAGCCCACACTGGGTTCTCCTTGCTGCTGACCTGGTTCTTAGTGGCTCAGGTAACAGCAGCCCCCACCCCAAGGAACTTGCTGTCCAAAGGCTATGAATTAGCACCCAGC